GGAATAGTCCATTATTATTATTATGGGTAAGATCCCATAACCCATGGATCTGAACTCAACGAAATCGTTCTCTGCAACTTTTCTAGGGCTTTTGAATGAGCTATGAATCATTGAAATCGGACCAGTGGGAGAGGAGGAGCTGTTTGGACACACGCAAACACACATACATAAACTGTACTTTATATATAAGATTTGGACAGTTTTTAGATAATTTATGTCAAGAAATGAAAACACTGATACGATCACAAGGAAAATTAAATGCTTAATCGATGTCAGTCGTCTTTAATGAAACATGTATAAAAGAGGGAATGCTGCCTAAATTCACAAATGCATACATACACACACACGCGCACGCACACACACACACAAAAACACACACACACAAATATATATTTATATATATATATATATATATATATATATATATATATATATATGTACATATATGGGTAGTAATCCGTTGGCGAGTCCTTTTAACACAACATAGAATTTGAAATATATTAAGATTGACTCACAAAAGAGCGCGCTATGTTTATTTTCAATAAACAGAGCAAATTTTCTTTACAATTAGAATTACGATACCTTTAGTAAATGACCATTTTCACGTACGAATTATATTAAAATGTGCATGATTTTTCAAACTGTTTTTGGTATCAGTTTTTAGTGTACTGTTTATTTGGAGAAAGAAAGAGAGAGTGTGTGTAATTGGATACTTATTGGCAGGTGAGGTGGGGGAAGAAGACATCGTTACTGGAATCATATTATGGTCATAGGAGAGCCTATATATATATATATATATATATATATATATATATATATATATATATATCATACTTATTATAAAACGCAGGTTGTGTGTGTGTGTGTGTGTGTGTGTGTGTGTGTGTGTGTGTGTACGTTTATATATTGGATCGGATTTCCTACATTTTTCAACCGATTTCAACAAAAACTTCACAGGACTAACGTAACATTGCAGTGGTTCTAACAGCGCCAAAAATTGGAAAAAACAGAATTGTTTTTGCACGAAATCAATTCGAAAACACGATTAAGAGGCATCGCGAGAATGAAAGGGGGACAACTCATATCGAGTTATACTTATTATAAAACCCAGGTTGTGTGTGCGTGTGTGTGTGTGTTCGTTTATATATGGGATCGGATTTCCTACATTTTTCAACCGATTTCAACAAAACTTCACTTTTTTGGCAGGTAGTGTTTCTTATTGTCTTGCACACTTTTTTCTTTATTTTTACATTCAGAATGCTTTAAAAATTCCATTTACAAGACAATTGTTTATAATAAAATTCTATTCAATCGGTAGACTCATAACAATGTTTTTTTTTGAAAAAAGGAACAAAAAAAGAAAAAAAAAAACAACTAATTAAGACATGCATGTCCGTCAACCTTAAACAATAATCTTTGTCAATTTTAATTTTCAGTCTTTATGATGGTCGATACTTGATCTATCTCTTACTGTTACATCCCTGAGGCAACGCCGGGCTCTACTGCTAGTATATATATATATATATATATATATATATATATATATATATATATATATGGCAGCATGTTTTCATTAAGACATGGCAAAAAATAACTTTCAGATGAATACAATTTTGGAAAATGATGAGCACAACAATTTTTGTCTTAGAAAAAAAACAACCCCCTGATGATGACATAGTGCTAATGTCGAAAGTACTCTGAAAAAAATCAATATTTATCAATGTCTTCGAAAAAAACTCTCTTGAGCAGCTGAGTTAGCAAATATACATTATTTTGCTGTTTTTATTCAATGATTTTACAAATAAATTTTCTGATATGATTTACAATGTTTATACAAGAGATGATTTTACAAATATTATTCATTAGATGATTTTTCAAATAGTTTTTTAAAAAAATGCTTTATAAAGAATGATGCATTTTTATTTTTTAATCCGACAAATTTTATTAAGCTATTTTTACAGGATGCCCATATTTAAGTAGACGTTCCGTTATGTTATTACATTATTAGTAAATTATATTTGTTTTTGTCTAACAGCCTGAATATTAGAGAAATTTTAATAAAGATTCGGCAGGATTAAAACCTGCTTTTAGTAGGGGAAACCGTCGTTACATCCGACGTGATTTAGAAGTATCGATCACAATGTGCGTCGATCAGCAACCAAAGTTGAATATTGCCTTTAAACGCAAATAATTCCGAGATTTATAGGCCTCCGAATATATATAACTGCTTAGTTTCGTATCCTAACGTAAACAAAACAATTTCAAGAGAAGTGATCGGTTTTCATCCGACAGAGTTTATCAAATACGTGTATCCAGTAAAAATAACGTTTAAGTAGTAAAATATGATTTTACAAATATGTGCCTATTACATTATTTACAGACATTTTTACAAAATATAATTTTAAAAAACTTTTTACAATATGTGATTTTAAAAATATGTGCCTATTACATAATTTACAGATGTTTTTACAAAATTTAATTTTAAAACACTTTTTACAATATATTTTGTTACAAATATGTGCCTATTACATGATTTGTACACGTTTTTATAAAGTATAATTTAAAAAATCTTTTTACAATATATTATGTTACAAATGATTTTATATTTGTGTTTTAATCGATCGATTTTACAAATGATTTTACATGACATAATTTTAAAAATCTTTTTACAATATATGAAGTCTTAATAGAATATTTTTCTCATATTCTCTAACACTCAATTACCTCTTGCGTCTTAGTAGCTTTATTTCCTTGCTTGAGGTGAAATGAATAAAAAATGTTTTTATCAGATGATTTTAGAAATATATTTTCAAATTAATTTCTTATTAATTATTCTTAATATTAGACTTTAGAAATGTTTTAATAAAATATGATTCTACAAATAAGTTTGAGTTGGTTTCATCAAAAGTTTCTTAAAATTTGATTTTACAAGTATGTTCATATAAGTAAGTTTTAATAGATTTTTTAAAAAAATATTTAAAAAAAATACGATTTTACAAATAGATTTTTACAATATTTTTTCTTTGAGAATGTTTTCACAAAATATGATTATACAATTTGGTTTTTACAGATAATATATTTTTATTAGACAATTTTACAAATAAATTTTCAGATGATTTTACAAATATGTTTTACAAAATACACTTTTGCAAATATTTTACAATATAGCATTTTGGAAATATTTTTACAAATTATTTTTTATTAAGTGATAAACATTTTTTTCAAAATACTTCTTTAGAAAAGTTTTTGCAAAATATTATTCTATGAATATGTTTTCAAAAATGTTTTTTACTTGATTTTTCAAATGTTTCATAAAGTATTATTTTACAATATGAGTTTACAAATAAGATTTTATATATTTTATAATTATGTTTGTTATAAAAAAACAATTATTTAAATAGTTGTTTTTTATAAATAAAAAGGCTATGCGTAAGTTTTTTACAAAATATGATTTTACAAGGAAGTTTTTACAAATATATTTCATTAGGCTATTTCATAAATTCATTTTTAGATGGTTTTACATATATGGCTATGTAAAATACGGTTTTACAAATATGTTTTTAAAAATGGTATATTTTATAAGGCTATTTTGCATGTATATTTTAGATGATTTTACATATGTCTTTGTAGAGTACGATTTTACAAATATGTTTTTACAAATGATATATTTTATTAGGCTATTTCACAAACGCATATTCTAGACGATTTTACATATATGGCAATGTAAAATACGATTTTACAAGTATGTTTTTACAAATGATATATTTTATTAAGCTTTTTCACAAACGCATATTCTAGACGATTTTACATATATGGCAATATATTTTTACAAATGATATATTTTATTAAGCTATTTTACAAATGCATCTTTTAGATAATTTTACATATATGGCCTATGTGAAATACGATTTTAAAAATATATATTTACAAATTACGTTTTGGGATTAAATTTTATTAATTTTTAGAAGAGAATGGAAGTGAATATTACCGATCTGGTATTCTTGTTTTGAGTATTATCATGTTTTTCTTTTTTAATTTTTATTTATTTATTTTCATTTTTTGATAACGAAATTCCACATGTTAAAGATGAAGGTTGCGTTATGATATTTTTAAACATCTCTCCGGCTTAGAAATAAATATATATATATATATATATATATATATATATATATATATATATATATATATATATATATATATATATATATATATATATATATATATATATATATATATATTAGAAAGAGAAGCCATAAATTCGTCAAAATGATAATGATTAGGACCATTATGATGATAATGGTGATATTGACGAGAGGACTCTGCTCCATCTAAAGTGTAAATATATTTAGCAGATTCTTCGAGGTTTCTTTTTTAAATGAATATTTCATGAAAGGCTATCTTATTTCGCTCGCAAGGTCAAGAGAATAACTTTTCCTTAGAGAGCTGTCAGTTGCAAAAGGAAAAATAAAGAGTATTTTCGGAGAATTTTTTTTTCTTTTTTTTTTTTTTTTTTGGTGGGTGGGTGGTTGTAGTGGGGGATTGGTTTAAGTTTTATTCATTTACTTATTTTTTAACAGGCGAAAAAAAAAAAAAAAGAAGTTTCTATGTGGGTATGCGTTACAGCCATCTTTGCTGACCCTAGGTTTAGGAAGCACCTAGCCCGAAGCTAACTCCCTGTCTCCGGATAATCGCCGTGCTTATTACGTCGCCATCTGCTCCAACCGGCAATCGATATTTATCACTCTCTCTGTTTCTCTCTATCTCTTTGTATGCGTCAAACTCTTTCCTTCCCTCCATTTCCCTCCTCTCTCAATCTCACTGTCTAACTCTCTCTTTTATATTCAATTGGCTTTATGTTCTCGCTTGCTTATTTCATATTGTTTCAAAAATGTTGTCTTCTGTCTTTATTTTTTAACGATTTATTATTGTTTCAATTTGCTTCTTTTCCGAAATATTTGCATAAGCGGAGAGAATTGTGCATATACATTTATTTAAAAAAGAACACGTTCAGTTAAAAAGCAATCATCATTCATCGGGAATTTTTTCTTATTTTCCAATCACTCCAAACTTGAATCTATCTATCTATCTATCTTCTATCTGTTCTATTTATTATCTATCTATCTTAGTCTGTTCCTTTCTTTGTATCTATCTCAGTATATTTCTTTCTATCTCAGTCTGTTTCTTTATTTCTGTCTTTATTCTGTTTCTATCTATCTATCTATCTATCTATCTATCTATCTATCTATCTATCTATCTATCTATCTCAAACTCCTCATATCTACCTACGTATTTATATATCTAACGATCATATTCGCATCAATCAATATATCGTCTGTCCATCTATCTATCTATCTATCTATCTATCTATCTATCTATCTATAGCAGATATTTCATATCTGTCTATATTTCTCAGACACTTCATGTCTACCAATGTATCTATATATCTAACGAGCCTCTTCCCATCAATCAGTATATCTATCTATCTATCTATCTATCTATCTATCTATCTATCTATCTATCTATCTATATATATATATATATATATATATATATATATATATATATATATATATTCCTTTTCCGCCCCCATACTAGCTCTCCTCCTTCACACACGAGGATACACACTGATATATATATATATATATATTCAAACGAAAAGGGTTTCTCTTAAGTATTCTATTTCTAATCTTCACAAAACGAGTTCAAGAAACTTATGCACGAAATATACACATATATGCTCATGCAATTTTTGTTGAAAACAACCGAATTTATATTTTGAACAGTTTTAGTCATTTTTTTCTAACTTCTGACGTATTTTCTCTTTTAGACAAAACACATATTTCTAATTTTTTTTCATTTTCACACAAATTGCATGAAAAAACCACTGCTCAAATACTTTCTGTCTGTCTGTCTGTCTTTCTCTCTCCATATATATAAATATATATATATATATATATATATATATATATATATATATATATAGATAGATAGATAGACAGATAGATGGATAGATAGATAGATAGATAGATAGATAGATAGACTATTTACAAACTCTGCAACGGCCCACGATTTCTACAGAAAAGAATGATGCCTCATGCTACTGAAACAAGAATCCTTTCTGGTTGTGGGGGATGTCTATATATATATATATATATATATATATATATATATATATATATATATATATATATATATATATATATATATGTAGACATGTTCCGTTCATATTTAAGAGACTGCATTTTCCAGTCAAACTTAGCTTTGCAATGTTGATAAACAAATCAGAATTTCAAACACTGTCAGTGGCTGGATTACACAGTATATTGAATGTTGCAGCGATGGAAGCAAAAGAAAATCTTTACATTTATGCATCGACTCAAAAAACTAAGAATGTTGGATACGCAGAAAGCCTTTGTAAAAGTCGAATAATTAAAAAAATAAACTTTGTTATTTTCATTTTCATGTTATCCTCGTTCATTTCTATGAGATAGCTATATCCGTGGGATATATTAATTAGAAACTAAGATAGAAATCATCTCAGCCACTTCTGCTAGTATATATATATATATATATATATATATATATATATATATATATATATATATATATATAGAGAGAGAGAGAGAGAGATAGACAGATAGATCGATAATGGGACAGATTGAAATAGATAAATATGAATATAGATAGATAGATAATGAACAGACGGAAATAGATAAATATAGATAGATAGATAGATAGATAGATAGATAGATAGATAGATAATGAACAGACTGAAATAAATATGAACAGGGATATATACATAGGTTAATATGAACAGTGATAGATAGATAGATAGATAGATAGATAGATAGATAGATAGATAATGAACAGACTGAAATAAATATGAACAGGGATATATACATAGGTTAATTGAAATATGATAGATAGTAGATAGATAGATAGATAGATAGATAGATAGATAGATAGATAGATAGATATGAAAATGCATAAATAGATAGAGGTAGATAGAGATAGATAATGAACAGACTGGAATAGACAAATTTGAACAGAGATAGATAAATAGACAGATATGAACATATATATATATATATATATATATATATATATATATATATGAATATGCATAGATAGATAGATAGATAGATAGATAGATAGATAGATATGAACAGACATAGATAGCTCTGAAAATGCATAGTTAGATAGAGTGATAGAGATAGATAATGAATTAACTGAAATAGATAAATTTGCACAGATAGATACATAGATGAATATGAACAGCATAGATAGACAGATAGATAGATAGATAGATAGATAGATAGATAGATAGATAGGTAGGTAGATGCAAATAAGTTAACTGCATTGTCTTATATTTCCTTTTATTGAGCGTATTAAAGAAAAAACGATGCTAAGATCGAAGTCAATTATTTCTTTTCATAGGAAATCAATGTCAACAAAAAGATGCTACTTAAAAACAACAAAAGGTTTAATTTATTTATAATTGTAAATATTCTCTTCTAAGACTGAACTCTTCGGACATCATTTCATTTATTTATTTTAGTTCATTTTTTTCCCAATTATTAGCGAAAAAGATTTGCAAAGAAACACACAGACAGTTTAACGCTTCATATATTTATTTGTTTTCTCTGTTTTCCCCAGTCGCCCCACAAGCTATGATATCTTTCTTCTTCTATGTTCCTTCAGAACACTGGCGATCACGGCTCTCCACAATTTCCTATCCTTTGTAGCTCTTAATAAATTTTGTATTTTTGTTATATCACCTAAACCTTGTTCCGCCATACATTTACTCCAGCTCACTCACGTCAAGTTATGCGTTGTTTTCCTCTGTCCATCTTGACTTTAATCTATCCTGTGAGTGGCAAATTTTTCCAGACATCTCTCCTTATTACTTATCCAACTCTTTCTGAGGCTAATATATAACAATATTATATATATATATATATATATCAATGATGGTAGAAACGAAATTTCCAAGGAGTTTCAGTGGAACGAAAATAAAATTTAACATCTTTACTGGAATGTATGCTAGCTTGGTATACAAGATTATCAGTTATACATTGATCGTTTAAGGGGCAGGACATATATTTTCAGCAGTTGCATGTGCTTTTAGAAAAGTTTACGTTCTTGTAAATATATTTGTTTAATATGATGATGTCATGTGTATACATATAATAATGTTATATACTTTGTCTCTGACGAAATTGGCCAACATTCACTGCCATATAGGGGAGTAATATTGCGTAAGAGTTCAGGGTTCTTTTCTTTGTTTCTAAACTTTCCTGTTTAGAAAACTTTGCTTAATTTTTGGGGAGGCATCTTTCGCTATCCCGGTCCGTCTTCGGATTTCGGTGTCACTTTTTGCAGCCACTTTTATATTGGCCAAATTTTTATATTTTGTTGTCTTTTTTTAATCTTAGAATTTCATTACCGGGCCTATTAAATCTACATCTTTCGTCTTACTTACTTATATATATATATATATATATATATATATATATATATATATATATATATATATATAAGGGCAGGATATGTGTATATGTGTGTGTAGACGAATGCGCGGCAGCAATTTTCGACGGATTTGCACCAAAATTTAGATGCACATGCTCCAATTTAGCGGGAAGGCCAAGACCGACGTTGCATTTTCTTAACTCCCGCGATAGTGGAAATAATCAACTTTTTCATGCTTCTACGTCAATTTTCACGTATTTTGCGGCCATTTTGTACCGGCCAGAGTGAGAGCCTATAGCTGTCTGTCACAAATAGGCAGGAAGATTATATTGGCCAGCGTGAAAGCCAACAGCTGACTGACACAAATGTTAACTAGCATGCAAAAAAAAATCGATAGCTGCATTCGTCACAAGTGGGGAAAATTTAAATCTGCATGGCACTTTACTCCAATTGCCTCATTCGCTTGCTTAAACTCAACGTTGATTCTGATTCCGAAGAACTGGGTTCGGTGTGAAAAAGTATTTGTTGTTAACATTCATTTTTCAATCGGTTTTTCCAGTTACGAGTCCTTTTTTTTTATCGTTTTGTGTTGATTTTGTTTAGTTCTTTTTTCGTAACAGATTTAATGTTTAGTATAGAAAAAAGGTATGAGATAGATAAAAAAATGTAGCAATATGAGACTCCTTTAAAGCAAGGAAATGAAAAATATTTTAAGTTAAGTGATAGCGCATGTATAGTCAATTTTTGAATATCAACGCACGAGCAATGCTGGTATATATATATATATATATATATATATATATATATATATATATATATATATATAGCCAGTATTTGAATCCTCCAAATTCACGGATCAGTTTATAAAGGCATTAAAGGAAATGAAATTCCTTTTTTTCAATTTCCAAGACCATCTTCAAGGGTTAATTGCTAAACATTAAAATAATTCATAGTTATGTTTTGTTTTTTTTCTGTAAAAACATATGAAACGCGCTCTGTTGATTCAAAACTTAAAATAACCGCCAGACTAGATTACCCAGAATGCACCACTGACCCATACATATAAATAGCCAAGGAAATATTCAGCATTCGCGGCCTGACGATTGCATCCAGCATGAAACAGTCTGTCGCCTCTGAGTATTGACTTCAATGTTCACTTTTATATTTACATACGCTCTATCTCTGATATTGAGCACTTTATCCCATAAATATACAATTTTAAAACTATATTGATTCATATATATATATATATATATATATATATATATATATATATATATATATATAATAATGTCGTTTTTTACGTCATTATTTTGCACCAATATATATATATATATATATATTTATATCCTCTGGAGTGGTTAGAATGTTCGCTTTTGACCATGTTCGATTTGTTGGGAAGAAGGGATGATGTTTATAAATGACGGAACTCTTGAATTGTGACATTAAACTCATTAAAAAGGGTTCTGGCCTTCTTCAAATTGTTGATCAGGCTAGAGAACACGCTCTCATAGCTTTTCTCAGAGGTGGGCCCTTTATTTGCCTCAATCTCAGTAGGAATCAAGCTAACCATCTTCTTGGAATACGAATGGCCATCTATTATATATATATATATATATATATATATATATATTATATAATGAGAAAATAATTGATATTTCAAGACCAAAGTTAGTGGCTCAGCGTTTTGAACATAATTTTTTTTGAAATTGTATAAAAACATAATGAAACGCCCGTAAAAGAAAAATTCTTCTGTTGATTCAAAACTTAAAATAACCTTTTGCCCTTTTCTTCTCAGATTGAGATATTGCAGATACAGAGAAATCAAGTTTCGATTTTGAACAACTGTTGGACTCTTCAATCATCAGCGCTTCAAAGCCAAGACCCACCTTCGTACACAAATTATCCCTGATTATCCTGCTCTTGTTACGACATCCATCTAATAAATAGCCCAACTCTGGCCTACTCCGAAATAATTCAGCAAATTCTAAAAAAATTTCAGAGAGACCATTGAAAGAAGTAGACAAAGCCCGTACTATGTAAAGTCTTTACCCATCCAGTGGAACTTTTAGATGCATGAAACATCAGTCAGTGCTTTCGCAAACCCTTGAGGAATGAGTATTCGACTGGATACGAAAAAGGGTTTACAGAGCTGTTGTTGCCATTTATACAGGTACCATATTACCAGCTGGAGGTTTCATAAGAGTGTCTCCGTGCTATCTGTGGAGACATACAGTCCCAGTTACGGTAGACTGGTCATGTCTTGAGAATGTATGATGACAGGATACCCAAGAAGTAAAAGCCACTTAGATCAGGGAATTTAGGACGCTCATGAGATCAAAGACAAGCTGGCAACTTGTCATCAGTAATTTTCCGTTCTAGAGTGGATAGTCAATTTTCCATCTGATAGTCTTAATCGTCTTCAAGAAGGGAGAGCAAGATCTAAAAAGTCAGCCAATCTAATTGATCCCACCCCAAAATCCTTACTCTTGCTCCATATGCGGCCACCTTTGTAAACCAACAGGAGAGTCCATTATATATATATATATATATATATATATATATATATATTACTAAATCTACATATTATCGGAGTTTCAAGCAAAACGCAATCTTCATGTGCTCACTATAGACTGGCCGTTACATAATTTAAATTTGGCGCAGTTATATATTATACTGATATCACAGTTTTTAATTTTAAATATATATTTGCCATTTAAAATAAACGGGATTTGTTTATTTATGCAAGAAAAACAAAATTAAAAAAATATTTTAGATTTGTGAATATTAATATTTTATATATTTTAAATGAAAAGGAAGTTACTTTTTCTTTTTTATAGAAAACAAAACAAGAGAAAAACCGTAAATTACATTATAAATAAACTGTAATTTATGCTAAAAATGAATTTCGATCAACGTATATAAGCAGATATTTATTTTTATGCCTGCATGTAATTATCAATTCATTTCACTTGTTTAATAAGCTCGGGTTATTTAAATGTTCTTAGATTACCAATTTTTCAACAAGTCATAAGTTATATTTATTTTTTTTTCCTTTCTAATATTTGGCTTTTGCTATCACATCCTAGTTGATGCCAAGTGAATTACCATCATTCTTCAATTTACAAAAATATCTGGAGAGAGCAGTGATGATGCTGTATTTTATATCACCTAAAATAATTCGACGATAGTAGAAACGAAATTTCCAAGGAGTTTCAGTGGAACGAAAATAAATTTAACATCGTTACTGGAATGTATGCTAGCTCGGTATACAATATTATCAATTATACATTGACCGTTTAAGGAACAGGTCATATTTTTAGTCAGTTGCATATATATATATATATATATATATATATATATATATATATATATATATAAAAGAAAGAACAGTAAGATATATAATCCGGTGTTCTTATAGATATTTTTATTTTTACAAAATAGTGCTCGATGTAAATTTACAGAGCATTAATATTATAAATTAATTGATTTAAAAATATTTTTTTCGCTACACAGTTCTAACCATGTTTCAAAAATGGAAGCTAAAAGCCACGGATTTAATTTTGTGATTAAATTAAAGACATTAATTCCATTTCATCCTCAAGCGAATTTTGGAGTAACTTTTAAAATTACTGGGTTTTAAAGACACAGTTAAAATCACGTTTCCATGGTTAAAATCTACTTCAATTCCATGGTTACAGATTCCTTATGTCTGCATCATTGTATCGGTTATTAGCTACAATTTGGTAAGGGGTAGGGATGTATTTTTCAATGAAAACTGACATCCGTTGAATGCATGTCGTCTGGATTTTTTTTTTTTAAATTTATTGTTAACGGCAAAAAAATTCTTACGGCATTTTTTTCTATTTGTATTATATATATATATATAAATATATATAGTATTGTAATATTTTTTTGTTTAAAAATATGATTCCTTCGCTACATAAGTGTTCTGATGTTTCAAAAAGGAGAGCCGAAATCATCGAAATAATTATTAAAATTAAGTTGAATTGAGGTGTTTAGTCCCGTTTCATCTTCAAGCGAAATTTTAGGAATTCCTAAAATTTCGCTTGAAGATGAAATTTCGCTTGAAGATAAAACGGGACTAAACACCTCAATTCAACTTAATTTTAATAATTATTTCGATGATTTCGGCTCTCCTTTTTGAAACATGAGAACTCTTATGAAGGAAGGAATAATATTTTTAAACAAAAATATTATAATATAAGCTCTACTTCTGTATGGAGCACTGTCGTCTTAAAAATAAAAACAAAATACTAAGGAACTCTGGATTATGCACCCAACGTGTTTCTTTTCTATTTTCTGCATACCTGCACTTATACATACATATATATATATATATATATATATATATATATATATATATATATATATATGTGTGTGTGTGTGTGTGTGTGTGTGTGTGTGTGTGTTTGTGTTTTGCTCATTTTCATTTTTTTCTCCATTATACTTTTACAGTCGTATCTGCTGAAGCTATTTATGAATCAAACTTGTTTTATGACTTCAATCCTATACAAAAAAATAAAGCTTATTTAAAGGAACGTAAAACATCCACTTGATTTATTGCTTATTTCATTCGTTTATATCTGAAATTCCCGCGCACGATCTAAGTGTTTCCTGTCCGAGAACCTCTTCTGTAAAACAAAATGAACTTTTCTCTTCTGGAAACTGCACGGAACACCATTCAGATCATAACACAATTCACATGGCTGACGGGGTTTATTATAAAAGCTGCCAGCCGACCACAGAAACCGTTAACAAAATAATCGAACAAATTTCTATTGACGGAGTCACTCATGTAACCTTTGGGGGAAAATCTTGTTTCCGTTGAGGCATGTACAACATCCGAGTAACTGATTTACAGATTAAATTCGGTTTGCTCTCGCCAATGGCTGCACATGAATATCCTCCAAAAATTGAGCACGACTTAGTCAGCAAATAGTGACAATTTCTCAGTCGAATCTCGAATTATTAGCTCTTTTACCTAAATCATGACATGTCAAATGGAAGAGAGAACGGAGAAATATATGCAAGAGGAGCGGATGAGGCGGGGAGTAACGAACACATTTGATTGGAAACTGGGAAGAAGAAATAAAGAAATATCAAATGGAAAAAGGAGCTAATTTCACACCAGAACCCATATTTTTGGGTGTTCGATTTCAAACAACATGCTGATTTTTTTAAATCAGCAGAGTTGGATTACTTACATTACTGTTTGGACGCTGATTCTCTCCACAGGCAAAAAAGTTTCAGCCGACTTACATGACTTTTGCTGCGAGGTGTGGACGTTTTTCAGTAAATATTTCATGGCTCTTGGTAAATTTCTCCCGCAAACAATATCTGGCGGGCCCATGTGAGTCCGGACAAACATAACCAGAAAATATCGAATTCAAACAAACAAAAATTAAATGCATCCATTAAAAAAACAAAAAAACACTGCATTAATGTGTGCATAGTTGAAAAGGTAAGAACAAGTTATTTAGATCTTATCTATGTGCTTGTCTGTGTTATGTGATACACAAGGTAAAACGAACGTTTCCCAGCGGGTACGTCCTAGTCTATTCTGATACATCTTCCAGCAAGAGGAAGAAAAAAGGAAAGACATGTTTGCCTTTTTCTAAAAACTTAACATCACAACCTAACTGGAGTTTGGCGAAGTTAGCTTACACAATAATAATGAACATATGATAAATGTAATCTTAGTCCTGAGTATGACGATAAACTACATCCGGCAGCAAGGCCTTTGATCGAGAGATTGGAGGTTTTGAAAAGCGTAGAACCACCGCTTAATTACTGTTGTTCCCAGGTTCATCCTGACCAGGACTGGTGTTGCATATTGCTGCTGGACTCAAATAAAGCGACGAACACTTAGATACAAAAATTTATAAATATCTTTATTGTTCGAGTCGCGGCAATTGAGTAGAGTGAGGGAGAATCACAGAGGTTAGGATTCTGCATACAGGAATTGACGGAGACAAAATCTTCGGTGAAACTCTAGCCAGCATCTTTCCCAGGCCAAGAGTTGGACCGTTTTTATAACATTTGGATACACATGCTAATTCACGTGGCTACGCTTTCTTCTGGTATGTCGCCTATACAAGTTCTTGTAGCCATACCTCTTCCGGCCATGTGCCGATGCAGCTCCGTGTGACACACCTCTTTCGTCATGCGGTTCCAGTTAAGGGCAGATAGTGAACCTCTAAACAAAAACAAAACACTATGAATGTATAAACATACCAGCAATACATATCAAATATTATTAACAATAACTATTTATTGTAATGTAAATTATCTACGATTCAGTTCATCTTTAGTTGAAGGCGTTTAAAATATATTTAATTGAAACCATAAATTAGTGTTCAAAATAATTTGGTTTCGGAATTAAATAACCCATAGATATGTTGATATGCCGCTAAACAAAACCAATCAACTAATAAATGTAAACTTATGTGTATGACAAAGTGGAAAGAAACTCCGTGTGAATGCATTTCATGTCTTAGTCCTAGACCGAGGTCAATGAAGTCCAAAGAATCCGGCAACCGAGGCCTTTGTTCGGGAGTTTGGAGAAGTTGAGGAGCATGGAATCACCTCTTAACTGCTGTTGTATCCAGGTCCACACTGACCCGAGTGATAGCACCTGTTAGCGTTCCAGGTATGAGCAAATCGTAAACCCTCAGCCCAGTACATTTTATAATAAAATGACCAAACATTTTTTATAAATACATTTTATTTATAATAAAATGACCAACAATCCATTTTTTATAATTGTTGAAGCTTGGATAAGCATGGAATAATAATAATACAACACAAAATGTACGTAAACAAAATGTATTGAAACAAGGAAAAGGTACACAATATTTACAGTTAGTTTTGGTATATTCTTGGGAAGACTTGTTCCTGTAGAATGGGTTGACTTAATCGCAGTTGGGCAGAGTCCTGGATTGGATCTCTTGTCCTCCCCCCGTCTTCCCGGCACCAACCCATATTTATATGGTCGGTACTCCACTATGTAAATTAGGTGGATCGTACAACAACAATAATAAAATGACCAACAATACATTTTTTAAAAAAATGACCAATATATTTTTATAATAAAATGACCAACAATACATTTTTTATAGCAAAATGACAATCAATGCAACACTAAAAATATAAAAATATATTTTTTATAGTAAAATTACCAACAATACATTTTATGGACTACAAACTCCATATCTAAAAAAAAAAACCCAAAAAACTATTTTTAACCCTGAGAGTATACAATTATCTACGATGTGTTCGTAGTTGAAAGCGATCTGAAAGTTGAATTGCGTGCGCGATATTTAGATATCGGCGTTAAATAATCCATAGAGCCACTAAACAAAATCAGACAACCAATAAATGTATACTAAGATATTTAAATAATATCAGTTAGGTCGGACGGAAAATAAATGATAACGTTGTTTGAACAGACATAAGAAAAATGAGGATACCCGTTTAAAAACAAATATTAAGCAGAGAAAAAAGAAATTTGGGGGTGAAATTTAGATTTGTGATTACAGCAGTCCAATCGTTGTTCAATCAGAAACAAAGAGGAGATAACTCTTAAATGCCTTAAAAAGCCGCTGTTTTAATTACTGAAGGTCTGAATGTAGGAAATAAAATCTTCAATCATGACCGAATATGGTCGAGAGATCTTTGCGCAATTGTGAACCTGGCCAGCTCCCCGTGTTTGGATAGGTATTTATTTATGCGTAGTGTGTCTTAAAGCAGACCTGATGGAAGCCATATCTATCCATGTCAGACAACACCCGATGTCATCTGAAGGTCGCCTTTGATCATGGATACGTAGCCGTTGATTTTGTCTGGGGAAAGTTCCACTCTGGCCATTGACTATGTTCTAGGAAGAACTCGGCCCAGAGATGCTGCGACATCACCATCCTGAATATACAGCCAGCAGTTCAGTCCCATGAGCAGATTTATCTTGCAGATGGTTGATACTCGCTGTAGTTCCTGCCTCTCGGCTGAACTCCTCGCTGGTGAGAACCTCGGAACAAATATACATGGGGTTGTCCGCCTGGTCCGGTGCAATGAGCTAACGGATTTTGGTTTTGTTTTTGATCGTTGGAAATTGGAGTAAATGGATTGTCGTCAAATGCGACATAATACTATTATTAGTACTTTATTATTATTATTATTATTATTGTTGTTGTTGTTGTTGTTGTTACAACAATTATTTAAATGTTAAATAATTTAAAGCAATCGTGTAATAAATAGAATGAACATTACAGAATAGACGTTTTGTTATGAAACACTTTTAACAAAATTCGGGCTTACGGTGTTTCAGTATCACATTAAAATAGAACTTCAAGCACGATCGCCGAAGTTAAGCAACGTCGAGCCTGGTTAGTACCGAGATGGTTGACTACTTGGGAATACCAGGTGCTGTAATTTGGGATGTGCGTGTAGTGTAATTGATAATGGCTCGCTAATCGAGGTGCCGCGTTCCATTATTAATTGCGTTCGTTAAATTCACTATCGCGCGAATGCCCTCGGGAAAGGTAAGAATCTACCTATTCTTCCAGCTATGGATTAATTAGTAAGTCTTGTGTCACTAAGAACCATTATTATTTCTCTGGTTAGCTTCCTTACCATCATGAATAGACTGATCCATACATCATAAGTCGTCCTGGGTAATTGACTAGGAATAATGGTACTATTAAAGTGACTTGTCTATCTGAGTATTGAATGATAAGATCACAATTGACTCTATCGAGCTAAGTGTTGTTTCTTGCAAAATTCCATATTGCAACAATCTCCAAGCAGAAAGAAATCTTTCAATTTGAAAATATTTTCTGGGTTTAAATAATCTGCAAATGGTTGATAAACCGTAAAAAACGAATGAATCAATTTTTTGCTAGGCGTAGTGTGAAAATAAACCTCTTGATTAAACTGCTTATAAAATATTTAGATTTCAGCATTAAATAACCCATTGAAGCTGATACGCTTAGTAAAATCAACCCACCAATGTACAATTCGAATATATAAAGGTATCAAAAAATGTACTGAATGGAAAGTGGTGATTGTCAGTTTGTGTTGTGGATTCCGGGTTGAAATCCGGTACCAATAAATAACAAACGCCGGGAATGAATATATTCAAATAATGTATTAATGTAATAATACAAACTGGTAATACAGGTTAGTAGTTCCAGGAATACGGGTTAGTAGCAAAATATATATACAGTCTTTGGTATTGAAGTATCGCTGTATGACTTCTTACTGAGTCTACGTGCTCGCTCACTGTGGCTCCTACAACGCTGTTACCTCACCCCTCACTCTTCCGCTTACCTACAACCTTTTACTCTGCCACTTTGGACTCGACTCGACTCCTCGGTCTTGCTCGCTATTTATCGATCCACCCACGAGGATTGAATATGGCACAAGGCCGGTTTAATGTGGGTATCTCCGAGCCCATAGGCTCGGCCAAAAATATAGCCTTTGAACCCGCCTAGACGGGTCCAGCATTCTGTCTACCTCTCCGGACGAAACCTTGACCTTCGGCAAAGCTTCGTCCGGGTTCCTCTCTGCTAATGCAGAGAGTTTGACAGTCGTCGCTTACAGTCAAAGACTGTATCACGACAGCTAGACTCGGAGGTCTTGCTCTCGGGTCTTCACGTAGTCGTAGTATATGTATACACTGGGTGAGTCCATTTGTATAAAAAGGGGTGGGCTCCTCAACAGTTTGAATAATTTTAAACATGCATATAATTTCATTTAAAATTATTCAAACTGTTGAGGAGCCCACCCAAGATGAATTGTTAAAATTAAGAAATATTGAATTTGAACCGTTAAACTACTTTGTAAATAAATATTAATATTTCTTAATTTTAACAATTCATCTTGTTTGCAAGTCAATAAATACGACATTTATTCTCATTTAAAGAGCGGAGAAACCCATTATATACTAAAATATAAAATATTAACTAAAAAAAAAAAACAAACAAAAAAAAGTGTACACTTAATGCCAAAGTCAGCAACGGTTATATAAAATAAAAGGTGTTCCATTAACTTGGACCGATTGCAAATGTGAATTAATTTTAAGCGTCTAATGACGTTTTACTTTCAGATTTAACAACTTAAATCTTTGACAATTTCAACCCTAGAAAGATTAACAATCAAACACAGTGTTAAAATTATCGAAGCCTATTACGAAAATGGGCGTTCAAACAGAAATTTAACGAAAAGTTCTCAGGTTGCATCATCTCTCGAAACACCGAAGTCAATTGGCTACCACGATCCTGCGACTTGACGCCTTTAGATTTCTTCCTTTGGGATCATCTCAAAAGTAAGGTCTATGCCAACAAGCCAACAACAATTCAACAGCTGAAGGATGAGATAATAAGGCATATTGGTGAGATCGAGGAGCAACTATGCAGAGATGTCATCAAGAATAGGATACAGGTTCGATTCCTGTCGGAGGACGCGGTAAATGTTGTTAATCCTGTTTTTTATAAGCAGAGCATTTACTTAAATATTTGTATCTATAAAAAGAACGTATAAATATAAAAGAAATGTCTTAATACATACATGCATATATATATATATATATATATATATATATATATATATATATATATATATATCAGGAGATCCCAACACAAATAGGGATCATCATTTCAGCTAAAGAGATCAATTAGAAAAAAATCCATCTCAATTCATAAGATGTTTGGAGAGAAGTTTCAGCTATGACAGTCCAAATAGCAGTGAAAAAAGACTTGAAAATTAAATCGTACATTAAACGTGTAATGCATGTTGTTACTCCAGAACAGAAAGTTAGAAAGTTGGAGAGGTCGAAGATCATCTTGAATAAATTGGAAAATGATCCTGGAATAATAATAATAATAATAATAATATATATATATATATATATATATATATATATATATATATATAGATAGATAGATATTTGAACTTTATTTCCATCTTTCATGAGCTTCCGATCCTTAACTATGATTAATTAATGATGAACATCTCATTTTCTTTTATGATCACTTTCATCACGATTCTTCTGTTAAGTAGAATGGAATAGTGTTATAAAAGCCTCGGAGAATTCCAGTAAGATACCTTTAATCATTTCTAAGATACAACGGTTCATATCTTAATCTAACAAATGGACAATTTTACTGTTACAGCATATATATATATATATATATATATATATATATATATATATGAAAAGCGATCATTTGGGATAAAATTTATTTTTAATTCCATCTAACTTCTAAAACAGAACAAACTCTTTCTGATTTCCAATACAATAGAAGACCCATTTTACCAATTAAAGTTAGTTTGTCATTCTTGTGACAGAATTCTACCTCTGGCATAATCCGTAACCGATAAGGATTTTCCTCAAGAAATATAAAATCTATTTGTACTAGAATTTTCGGGGGGTTGAATTAAGAAATGTTCTTCCGCGTAGACTGCATGCCACCTAAGACAAGAAAGAAAACCCTATATTTAAGCAGGTTTATCTTCATTGCTTTTCTTCTGTTAGACTGGCTACCAGACAAGGCTGTAGAGCTCAGTTGACTCTGATATTTAACACTTATCGCGAGGATTGAGGAGTCTATGCCTTTTAAGGGCAATAATACGCGATCAACAGCGCGGATTCAGCCAGAATCTGAACTCGTCAAAACGGTTCTACTTTCGGCACAGATAAGCGTTAAGCTTCCCACACGCCCAACATAGCTGTCACATATACATGTTAATTATCTATCTGGATAGAAGACTTTTTTTTTCTTCTGAAAAAGTAATGGCCCTTTTTGTCTGAATGTATAAACAGCGCACATCACCTTCGAAATTACTTTGTTTATACCATTCTCAAATGTTCTGCGCATTTAGCCAGTAGAATATTTGTTTACCGACGTTACCGGGCGTAATCGCAATCGTTCGCTAATGTTATCGAACGCTTGACCGAATCACTTTTTCCAACCAGCTCGTAAATAATCCATTAGTATCAGTGAATTATATGGTATTGAATTCACGCGTTGCCACCAGATGACGGGCTATGATGACAACACAATGGCTGGCTATTGTGATCGAAAAAGGACCCCAGGAAGATAAACGCCATACTTCTGATTACAGCAACGATTTTCATATGGTGGATAATAACATCTAGTGTAGAGATCGGCCTTAAATGGTGGAATCATTTAGATGTTTTAATTTTCCATAGTTTTATTCTGCTTTTATTTTTCTTTATGTACAAGATTAAATGTCCCATGAAAGAAGGTGAAAATTCTTGTGAAGTTCTCTTCACTTGTTGCAAAAATAACTGGCAATGGAAATGTATCTTTGTTCGTAAAGATACAATAATTCCTCCCGAAAATTTTTGTATAGTTTATAAAAATGTTTAAGTCGCTAATGTTTCCAGCTTTCATTTGAGAAACCCGCTGCTGAACGCTTTCTCTTTTTTTATTTATTTATTTATTTTATTAATGACACGTTTTTCTGACATCTGAATAAAAGTGCCCAAACATCAGAAAATGTTTTGGAATAATTTCCTAGTCGGCTCAAGTATATTTCCATCACCCTGTCATACATTGGTTACTTCATAATTCAAAACCATTCCTTCATCTTTATTTTCTTTAATGTAGTGTTTCGGTCGTTGCATCCTTTGCGACCTTCATTCCAGATACACTTTGCTGATCTCTCTGTTGGCCACACACGTTGTAATGGCAACAAGAAAGATGAGAATAGTGGTCCTGATATAAATGGTATTAACTAATGATAAATCAACCTCCGAGAAATTTAGACATTTCTTCCCTTTTTATTATCTTTAACACAGAATTTCGGCAGCTGTATTCTCCGGCCTTCTTAAGTTCATTCCAGAAACACTTTGCTGATCTTTCTCTTTCTACAACAACTGTTTGACTTTAGTAACTTTAATACAACATTTCGGCCGCTGCATTCTCTGGCTTCCATTTCAGAATCACATTACAGTTGCAGCTCTCTCTTCCCCCATCTCACTCTCTGGCTTCTTCTCTCTCCCCACTCTCTTTTTCCCCTTTATCTCACTCTCTCGCTTCCTCTCTCTACTTCCATTCTCTTTACCACTCTCTCACCTTCTCGCCTTCCCTCTCTCTCCACTCTCTTTCTCCTTCATTCTCCCTCTTTCTATCTCTCTCCCTCTCTCTTTCTCTTGCTTTCTCTCTCTCTCCTCTCTCTGCCACTATTCCCCCTCTATCACTCTGTCGTTTACTCTCTCTCCATCTCTCCCCACTCTGTTTTCCCCTCTCTCGCACTCACTCTCTCTATATATATATCTTTCTCTCCCACACTCTTTCTTCTTTTCTCTATTTCTTTTAGTTTTCTCTCTCTCTCCCATTCTTTCCCCTCTTTCGCTCTCTCTCCCTCAGTTCGTAAATAAGCACGTCTCAAAGTCTGACTAAAAG